CAGGAAGGGAAACATGAATAGGGTGGATAGAGAGGTGAGTAGGTTCTGGGAAGTTTGGGGCATGGAAAACATGATCAAGATATATAAAAACTTAAATAAAAAGTAAATTTAAAAATCATATTTCATTGTCTTTGTAATACTTGCATGTGAGATGTGGGTGGATGCAGAGTTATTGTCCTTAAGCATTTGTCAAGGAAGCTAAGGACTGCTGAGTTTTGCCAAATCAAGATTAGATAGGGCTGAGGATAGAGCTGAGTTGTAAAACTGCTTGTCATGTCTGTACTAGCCCCTTGGCTCGATCCCCAGGACTGAATAAAACTGGGCCTGGCGGGTGGCACACACCTGCAGGCCTCGGGCTCCTGAGGTGGAGGCAGGAGGATCAGAAGCTCAAGATCATCCCCAGCTAAGTAGGGAGTTTGAGGCTAGCTTGGAGTTCAGGAACATTGTTTCAGAAACCAAAACAACAAAATATTTTAAAAAAGAAAACAAGTTAATTTAACCTAAATCCACTGGAATCAGATCACTGAAGAAAGAAATCCCCAAATCCCGATTTTGTAAGCAAATCATCCAGAAAATTTTTTCCACTGGTTTTTTAAAAAAGATTTATTTCTTCCCATTTTAAGTTATGGGTGTTTTCCTGCATATATGTATGTGTAGCACATACATGTATTATCCCTCAGAAGCCACACTGGATTCCCCAGAACTGGAAGGTTAGCGTATTGTAAGTGACCATGTGGATGTTGGGGATTGAATCTAGGTCCTATGAAGCAGAGCAAGTAATGGGCCATTCTCCAAGCCATTCTGCTGTCTTAACTGAAAGAGTACACACAGAACTTCAGGTGGGCCTATTAAAGAGAACACCACACTATGACAGAAAAAATAGTAAATTGATTCAGGATATTTTTATATACACAGACAACATATGCTTTGTGATGGTTAGTATATGCTCAGCCCAGGGAATGGCACTATTAGAAGGTATGGCCCTGTTGGAGTATGTGTGTCACTGTGGGTGTGGGCTTTAAGACCCTGGTCCTAGCTGCCTGGAAGTCAGTCTCCAACTAGCAGCCTTCAGATGAAGATGTAGAACTCTCAACTCTGCCTGTACCGTGCCTATCTAGATGCTGCCCTGCTCCCACCTTGATGATGATGGACTGAACCTCTGAACCTGTAAGTCAGTCCAATTAAATGTTGTCCTTTATAAGACTTGTCTTGATCATGGTGTCTGTTTACAGCAGTAAAACTCTAAGACATATTTGTATCATTTCAATGCAATCACTAGGGGAAATACCTCACTATATACCTTGTCTAGAAGTTTCTTTTAAAAGTCCATGTGAATTTATAATCTGAGCACTGGTTTTACCTATAAAAGATACCCCAGACTAATAGAGGAAGAGAAATGAGAAATTACAGTGAAATATCTAAACAAGTCTTCTATGGTTTCATGAGTGTGGGAGATCTTGTGTGTGCGCCTGTATACCTGTGTGTGTATATG